GGGGCGCCCAGAGAAACGGCGACTCGAAGTGCATCAGCGCAGGCGGTTGGAACGTCGACTGAGTCATTGCGTCATATCTGTCAAACCCGCACGTTAAAACAGAATCGAGTGGTGGGTAGCAAACTGCAGTCTCTACGGCAAGAGATAAACGGAGTGACGGGACGTAAAAGTGGCGAGGCGTCGCAACAACGCAGGTGTGATCGGACGCATTCAGGCAGCCATAGAGAAACAGGTACGATAAGAGTCGTCGTGTCGCTTCGTGAATCGGCAAGGTACGTGCTTGGCAGCAGTCCACAAATTATCACAAGTTGTCCGCAATGCTAACTGGGTAACAGCTAGTGGAGGGACAACTAGTTCTTTCCAACCGCATCTCTGCGTGTGCCAGCAGCCTTTGGGGGTTGTTCCGTTCTGGAATCTGCTGCTTCGGTTAGGTTAGGAACATGGGCCTGCAAAGAATTCTCCGTGCCCTGCTGCACAGACACCTTGAAGCCAATATTCAACAGCACTTTGGCTCGTGTTTGGGAAAGCTCTTCTGCGAGAATGCGAGCTAATCTCCACCCCAAGCCCTTGAATAGCACTTTGGTTGATAGTGACCTCCCCATCGATACTGCCTGCGCCTTTGGTTTCCACCGGAGGCTGCTGAAGGTCTCAGACTTCGGCCTCTCGTGCTATTTCAAGCATCCAAGCTGCATCTCAGCTCTCCTCGTGCTTAATGACACTCTTCAATTGGGGTTTCAGACCTAGAGCTGCAAGGACAAAGGCCAATGCTAAGATGAGTTTGCGCTGGGCCATCTTGCAAGTCACGCTCGAGCTGGTGTGTGAAGGAGCGCACGGCTTCTTGCAAGTTCGATCGTAGGGAAAACAAGGAAGTAATTGTGTTTTTGTTTGAGGATGTGCGTTGTCGTTTCTTGCTGGTCGTCTTCCCAGGTTTAGGTAGACGCGCAGGAGTCATGCGGGACTGGAGTGGGCGCCGAATGGAACAATTGAGCTGCAGGAAAGACACAAAGCAAACATAAGAAGCCGGACCCAAAAAAACAGGAAGAACACACAAGGAAGCGCGAACAGTCAAAACGAAGGACGACACGTGAAGAACGACAGGAAATTAAGGACTAACTACCGAAAGGCAACAGGAGAATGATGAGGCACACCACTGGCTTTTTGCTTGCAGCAGGATTCGAGACGGAATGAGACTGACACCAAGGCCAAACCAGGTCTTCACTGACAAAGTGGGCACCGTCACCCACATGTCGCCGGAAGTTCTGAGACGGAAGCCGGCCCGGCTCAGATTTCGGGTCATCATCGGCACGCCTTGGCTCGGGGAGGGCTCCTCAAGCCACGTTGCCGTTCAAGGATAATGATAATCAATCAACTGCTGTAGAGTTGGGGCAGACATGCATCCGAAGATGGACCCATGCAGCTGGACTTTTTGCATAACTTTTCCAAACATGTGCTGAACTTACTTTGCAGCCATTTGGCTCAAGCGTCTGTTACCGCAAGCAGAGTATGTACCCGATGATGGATACGGGCAGTTGTCGAGTGCTACCCGCCAAGATATCATATGGCATCAAGTGCAAAAGCTTTGGTGTTGGAACTCCGACGTATGCTCAGCCCTTCAGCACATGTGCAAATTCCAAAGCATGTAACAAAGCAACTCCTGTTGGCAACACTTTCGTTCGCGTCGTTGTCGTCACCCAGACGGGCATGTTGCAGCCATGGGGGGGGGGCCTCTGGGCTATTCGAGGCGTCTCAGTTTGACCCCCAGCACACGGAACCTTCTCGCGTTTAGCAAAGAAGTCGGGCTGCTCCTGAGCTATGTGGCCGCGTGATGGCCATGGCTATGGCGCACAGTCCGAGGCACATTGCTCGGCTATTCGGAGACTCTTGGCGCATTTCCAAAGATAGGTGTCGGCCACAATGACGCAGAACTTTCAGACTCTCAGCCTTTACCTTCACCCGCGTGCTTTGGGGCAGGTGGCGTGGCATCAGGCCATCTGCTGACTGAGCTTTTGGAGCATCTTTCGAGTAGTTGGGGGCGAGACGGGCAACGCATCGCTGGCCCTCAGGGCGCTGGCAGCATTGTGCGGCCAGCAGGCTGGGTTCGCTGATGAGCTGTCAGATACTGCAGAGATGTTGCCAAGTCACTGCCCGAGAATTTGATGCCTGCAGTTCCGATGACCGCGCCCATGGGGATACCTCCCCACAGTGCAGGCACAGGCGCGCAAGAACGGGAATATACCAATCAAGATGACTCTGCCTAGTTTTGATCGTCCTGAATCCGTTTACAGGAGCAGTACCCTACGTTGTGCCGCCAATGCATTCGCCAGCGGTGAGGGCGGCAGGCTTGACCTCAGCTCTGGCCTGTAATTCAAATGCAGGGTTCAGCGTTGCTTCCCTGCGAGGATACTGACGATAGCCAGCCTTGCTTGCCGATGCTGCATAGCACACAGTGCAGTTCGTCTGTGATCAATGTGCTTGGACTTATTGTTTCTGTGAAAACAGGATTCGCTGTAGCAACACACCAACCAATGAATCACCAGCAAGGAAGGCTGCACTAAGCTGGTCGTAAGTCACAGTTAGTTTGCAAACCATGCTACCCCGAACAGCCGGGGCTGCTCTCGGCAAACGCTGCGCAGCTCCGGCAAGAAAGTCCTTTCCTTTTCGCTTGTGATTTCTCTCCCATACGGACCGGGCATTGGTACTCGACGCTAAACACGTAGAATGGAGTGAATGCAGTGTTCAAGCATTCTCGCAGTGCCGACGATACCAACACCCCACGTTCCAAGCACGCCAATGTGTGAACCCGAAGAGGCGTAGCGCCGGTACCGCCACAGCCTGGTGCTGCCGGGAGCAAAGAAATTGATGTTGGATCGATGTGACATTGTTTGGGGCTTATAAGTTTACGGGGTTTGTGTCTTCAGGTTGAAGGTTTAGTTTAGTATTTTGTCGACAGGCACTGTAGGTATTTTGCGAGCCTATTGTTGCATGAGCACAAATCCATCGCGTGACAGTTTGACTTTTGCACGATTTGATCCCGAGCACACCAGGTTTATCCAACCTCCCCATCGTCTTCAAGCACGTGGAAGCAACTGGGCATTCACCCGAGGGACTCTGACGGTTTCAATATCATGGATGTTGTTGACGCTCTGTATGCTAAAGCTACGGTCATCTTTCGCGCCTGTGCGCTACGGCTGGCAGTGCCGCTTGACCATGCAGCATGCTTGATGCTGGGGGAACACGACTCTGTCGTCGATGTGGTTGGTGAGTATGAGAAAACGTGCTGTCTAAAATGTTCAGACAGTCTTCCCTCGCACTAGGGCGGACCCTTTCGATGTGCTGGGCGATGCAACCTGGTTTCCTGCGCCCAGCTTGCGCCGAGCTGTGCCCGCCGGAGCAGGCATTCGGAGAAAAGGATGTGTCATGCCAAATTGCCCGGAACATGCACAAAGCTTTGCACCGAGGATAGACGCCGTTTACTAGTTTCAGGGCTTTGGGTTGATGATCAAGGGACACTAAGTTTCAAGACGCTGCTCGTCAAAGATGCAAGTCTTGTCTTGGGCCAGTTTCGTTCATCATGAACCGAGCACAGTAGGAGCGCGATGCTGCAGGCCTGCCCGGCAGCGAGCAGTTCGAGGAGGGAAGGGGATGTGAAATCCTTATCTCCACCAGGTTCGAGCATTCAGGGCTGCTTTTCATGGTATTTCCTTTGTCATTGCCACGTCTCTCTTCCTGCCCTACATGCCAGTGTCATGCACCCTCGCCTTCTCCGTTTTTCTCTGTCGAATGTGGTATTGGTCCAAGCACTTGGATCGAATGGCCATGGAAAACCAGGCCGTCTACTTTTACACGTCGAAAAAACTGCTAGTTCAGAATCTCAGAAAGGTTCGTTCGCCAGAGGACAGGGTCACCTCTAAATCAAAGACCGGGCGAATCCAGCGAGGTTGGAGACGAAGCTGACGAGATGGTCTTTCTCCGCAGGCCTTGAATTGCAGTTGGTGGCTTCAGGCGGCCACGTGGTAGTCAAGGTGCTGGGGCTGAAACTGCTGCTGCCGCTGCATAGTTGGTGTGGGCATTGATGGTGACAAGTCGCTGGCGATGCATCCTACTCACCGCATGCCATGGAGCAAGCAATCAGCCAACCGTTGCAAACAGTGCCGGCATGAGTAGGTGCATGATGCAACACGAACGAAGAAGAAAATGAGGCATGAATGCGTGGTCGAAGGAACAAGTAGTGATACCAGCTACGGTGATGCTTTTGTTGCGGTGATGGTGATGTGCCGGTGTCGCGGAAGTTGGCTATGATGCTGACCATCTTGATGATGGCGATACCGTGGATGAACATATTCATGCAGTGGTGGTGACGATAACCATTAATTATGATAGTGATAGTGATGATAAATGCTTAAACTGAAGATGGTCATGGCGATGCTGATGTCCGCGATGATGTTTTGGTTGATGATGACGTGTGTGGCGGTATGGTGGGGATGACGCTAGCGCTGTAGCTTGTGATGCTGGTGATACTGGTGCGGCCGTTGCAGATGATGTTAAAGACGTTTTGGATGGAGTTGGCCCTCATGATGTTGATTATTGAAGGGGTTGGATTGAGAGCGATCCGGCTGTCATGAGTGGGTTTTACCAGAAACAGGCATCTTAGAGTGCGCCTTTGATTTTCTTGGTCACCTGGGCAAGCTTGCATGACTGGACACTTATTGTTGCTACACATAATCCATTTCGGGTGTATCAACAGCGTCGTGATTTCGGACCGGCTGCTCCGGATGAATGTTGACACATGTGCACGATTAATATTGTTTGTGAAATCGTTCTGTTTTGGCTTCCCATCGAAGCCAGGGCAGCAGCCCTCTTGGGTAGCGATGTGCCAGAAGCTGCGCGGCAGGTGGAAGAGGGAGGGAGAAGTTGGGAGATGGGATGGCTCTGCTTGTCGGGGCCGCAGCCCCTGCCAGGACCCAAGGAAAGCAGCCTTTGCGGAGGCCACACGTCTCCTCATGGCGGTGGTGGGCTTCATTTGCGAAGGCCAGCCTGCAGGTGGCGGTTTCATGCAACTGTTTACATCGGTCAGAAACAGCTTTTGGAAGCTGTGTCAAAGTCGGCGATGTTCCGTTGAGTCAGTTCAGTCCCGATCATCGGGCGTTGCAGGCCACTGTCCACCGATGCTTCGCGGAAATGCTGCCAGCCCACAAGGGTCTAGCAGAGTCTAGCACGCTCACGTGCTGCCTGGTTTGCCTGAGTTTACAGAGTGTTCCTGCATCTTTTTTCAGAGTCTCGCACGAGTCCCGCTGATTCGCAGTCCGACACCAGCCCAAAGTTGAGTGTGGGCACGGTTCTCAAGATGTCTCGACAGTTTGGGACGCAAGCAACCACCCTGAACGCGAAATGAGAGGAAGCGAGAGAGGGAGAGGAGGGAAGGGAGGGGAGAGGTAGGCGAGGGAGGAGGGAGGGGAGGGAGAGGGACTTGTCCGCGACCTGAGGTGGTGACCAGGGGTCCTTACCTTCCTGCCTGGTCAGGGATGGTGCCACACATCATGCTTAGAGCCACTCGTCCAGAAAGGACGCTGTGCTTAGCAGACAAGTTTGGCAAGATGGAAATCGTGACACCAGACAGGTCGCTGGGTGAAGACTTGCGATGCATCAAGCAGTGCATCTCCTGTCTGAAGATGTGGTGCCTATGCGTCTCACCCGAGCTCGGGCCCAACCAAGGACTGGTTTGATGCAAACGACGCTTCCTCTGTGGTGAACTTCTTCGGGTCAGCATGGCTTCGCAAAGCTTTCGAAGCCGCGGATCGATCCCGGAGGGGGTTGCTCGGATGCATCATTTGCAGAATGCTTTCATTCGTACCTCTATGATTGGAGCATCTGTGTGCTTGCTCACCTGCGGCAATAAAGCTAAGTCGTGAGAAGTAAAGATAGAGCAGAAGTATGAGCTCAATACGATCGCGAGCTGTTGCCGTGCCAACTTCTTGCTCACTACACTCACTTAAAATGCCAGTGGCTTTGTTCCGCAGGCTTCGTTCGACCCACACCCCTTCCCCAAATGCAGCATCGAGAGTTCACAAGCGCCTTTGCAGGCAGTTTGTTGCACTTTTGTCACGCGCCGCCTATGCAGAAGTGCTGCGGCCAGGGGTACGGGCTCCGGCCCCAGACCGCGATGCTTTCTGATCTTCGAAGCCTCTAACTTGCTTGAGACACGGGCACAGCTGAATGACCAGCATGGTCGAGGCAGAGGTTTCAAATAGTTCTCCATGAGACAGCTTCGAAGGGAGAGTCTTGACAGCGTTCACGGCAAGAGACAGTTACTTCACTTGTCCTGCTTCTCCAGAGGCGCTTAGAGCTCCATGGCAAAAAGTCTTCGCTCCTCGTCTGAGTATCGAACATGGAGGAGGTCTGATGTTGGTCCCAGGGTTCCGCAGGCAGAGTGCGCCAAAAAATGTAGACGATGACATCTACCATCGCAAATCGGGGCGCTGGGAGCTAGGACGGACCGAGTCTAAAAGTGCACATGCAGCCGCACACATACAAGCTTGCACCAGGCTTTCTCGCTTTACGTGCTGATAGCTCAGGAAAGCTTCCCAGAGTTGGGGATCTTCCGTGCTCTTCTGACTCATGTGAGAAGGCCGTTCGAACGAGGAAGTGTCCATCGAAACTGAGCAATTATAGAACAGCCCTGGGGGGATCTGCTTGAGGCGTCTCTGGGAAGATGCCCGGGATCGAAGTCGGAGCAGGCTGCGCGCATGGCTTTGGGTGGTGAGCTATGGGAAGTTGCGAGTTTCAGGTTTTCGAGGGTACTTCCGGGGCGGAGTTTAGGTCAGTTTCGGATCCAGAGCAGTTCAGTTTCGGATCAGGGCGCGGCCAGTTTACTGTACACGCAGCAACTACTAGTAGTGCACGCAGCAGAAGTACTCGTTGCAACTACTAGTGCTGCTGGCAATTACTACTCGTACTGGTCGTACTGGAACTACGATGTAGTCAAAAGTGCTTGCAGTCCCAGTAGCAATACGCATAGTACCACCAGTGGTACTGTAGTAGTCACCTGGCAACATCCCGACCCGAAGCTGACCACCTCAACACTGGGCCCCTAAACCCGTGATCCGAAACTCACCGGCAGCCGAACCCCAATCTATGACGAAAAAGCTTCTCTTTCACTATCGGAAGAGTACAATCCTTGCGTCTTGGAGGAGCCGGGAGCGAAAACCAAAGCCGGAGCCGAAGAACGAGAAGAAGCAGGCGAGGAAAGCGAACGGGAAATTCTCACAGGGGAGTCACGGAGGTGAAAGACTCTGCGGAGACTGCGTCTCCCTATCCGTCCTAGGTTCTTGAGCCCGCAAGTGCTGGTAGTTTATGTGCTGTATCCTCGAGCGTAAACCAAGGCTACGATGTAATGTGTTGCCCGTGTGCTTCCATGTCTTTTTCCAAGATCTGGCGACATGCACATCCGACCACGTTGTGGTGAGCATATGCCCTTGCTTATTGCAGGAGGGCGTTCGATTTATCGTCAAAAACGCAGGAAACCTTCCTGCGTCAGAGTTAGAAGAGCCACTCGGACAAGTCGACCAAAGACGAGGCAAAGGTAGAGATAGTGGTCTGCTGAGTCATCCTTACTCATGCGTTTCTACCTTGCTTTTCGCACAGTCAGCAGTGACAGTTTCATATCTGTAGCAGTAGCATTGGTGCAATCGTTGTGATGAGATAGCAGAGCAGCAGTTGCGCATGTCAGCCAAGGCACTTCCAGAGCTTTGGCAAAGTCCTTTCCTGCAATGTGCTCATTGACAAGCGGACAAAGAAATCCCGGGGAGTGGCCTTCGTCGCTATGCTGCTGGGTGCTCAGGAAGTCTGCCGTGGCCGTCGTGGGACTCTGTCGCCTCTGAACTCGCGGACCTGAGGCCCGAAGGCCTCTACGACGGTCGGCCTATCACGGCACCTCTGCTGCATTTGGAAACGTATCGCAGCCGGCAGCTCACGGCAGCTCAGGAAGAGGGCATGAAAGCTTGGGCCTGAGCTCAGTTCTGCAAGAGTCAGCTATCCAGAGCTCGAGCTTTAGGACTTTAAGCTTTTGTAGGCCTTGCACTTCAGGGCCAACTGTGTCCATGCCAAGGACTGGGTGCTGCACGAGACCCACATCTGTGGGCACATGAAGCTGGAAGTGACGCTGGCCGAGGTCAAGCAGGAGAAGGCCAGTGCTAGAGCAAGTGAAGGAGATACTTCGAGCTCTCGAAGCATTTCGCCAGGAGGAGGACGAAGATCGAAAGAGAGAGGAGCGTGTGGAAGAAAGGACCGAATTGCATGATTCGTTCAACAGTATAAGTTGCGCACTCGAGACACATAATTTCTGGGCCGTGTACGTATTTATTTATATATATATGTATATATATATATATACATGTCTATATATGTATGTATGCAGTCACTTCGTCCAGCCCGATCCTTCTCGTCGTGGTCTTCAGACAAAGCTCGGCACGTTGGGCGCTCGATCTCGATGCTTGCCAGTGTCTCAAAGCTCGGCCACGCTTCGAGGAGGCGCTCGCGGGTCGAGAAGGAGCAGCGCATGAGCCGAACCCTCGGAGGCGTTGGCGCTGGTTCGTCTCTCCTTCGCCTCACCTCTGACTCGGACTCTCCCCATGGAAGGTGTTGCGACACTCTCGGAGCGTGGGGAGGAAAGATTGGTGCTCCGGCTGCAGGGAAGTCGCCTGATGCCCAGGCTTCCTTAAGTGTCCTCCGGCAGAGAGACCCAGGTCCCTTCTCACTGGCACAAGCGATGGCGAAACCAGCTCTTCGAGCTCCTTGGCTTGGCGGCCCCTTCGAACGCTAAAGAATCGGGAGGTCTCGAGCGCTCTGAGGGGCGACGCCGCACTTCCCAAATCAGCTCATTTGGAGCCATGTCAGTTTCGAGACCGGAAGCCAGCAGTAGATGTCCTGGACGTGAGTGGCAAACACACAACTGCCAGACACAGCACGTTTTGACAAGCCTGTTCACAGGGAGCTGCCCAAACGCAGCGATATATACACTGCTTGCGACCCGTAGCACTCTGTCTCTTCACTTTACAATGCTATGTAGGTTGCGCACCTTGGTCCACATACGACCTCGGCCTCGGGGTCTCCAAGTGCCACTCCCGCCTGGTCTGGTTTGGATAATGGGCCATGTGCTTCGTGCAAACTAGGCATGCAAGGAAGCCCCAAGAGAAGGCCAAATCATTTCACCGCAGGTTCCTTCCACGTGGGCCTTCGGGACCAACTCCTTGGGGCGATCCTCGCGTGACGGCAATTTGTGCAGCGATTTGGACCGAGGCTCCCACGACAGAGCTTTGGGTGTTCGATGTGCCAGGAACTCCGTCCAAGCTGAGTTCATGTGAATGGGGTGACTGCTTGGACCGCTGCTCTATATCTATATCTATATACATATATATATATATGTATATGTATATATATTGTCTTCGTAACTTCCGGCTTGTGAAGGTGGCAGAGCATGCTGCGCGAACCGGTGATCGGACAGTAACTGGGCTTCGTGAATTTCTGCTGCTTAGGAGCCCATCCCCTGCCGTCCCCAGTGCCGTCTGCGGCCCTGCGGCTCAGGTGCAGGAGGCTCTGAGCCTTTTCCAGGACGGACCAACTCCTTGTGCCATCCGAGACCCTGAAGCCTCCTTTCGCAGGAGCCGGCGAGCGAGACCCCTCGACGCTCAGCAAAAAATCGCTGGGGGCTGGGGTGGGCTCTTTAGGCTTTCGGGACTGGCTCGAGGCTCGAGCCAAGAATGAACCTAGGGTGGTCCTTCATCCCGGCAGCGGAGCTGCTGCTGATCATCGGGGAAGGCGCGGTTGAAAGCCCTTCGCACTCTGGCTCTTCTGCGGAAGTCGCTGCAAGGAATTGTTGGACTCTCTGCCTTGGGCGTCTTTGTCTGGCCGCAGTGGCAGGAGAGCTGTCGAAAGCATATTAAATAGGGCCTTCGAGACAGTTCCACGTCCAGGCACAGTCATGGACCTGCGGAGTGCGTGAAGGGGCAGTCAGCTTTGCTGATGCCACGGGCCAAGCAAACAAGCAAGCAAGCAAGCAAGTAAGAGTTAGGAGTCGGAGCTGCAGGGAGACAGCAGCACAGAAGGCTCAACAAGATGCTCTGGCCAGGACCCCGTGCCACCACGTTCGACTCAGGATATCATTGCGCCGCACCCCCAACATGAGAACTTCGAGTTTCATTAATATGTGCTTCTCAAAGGCCAGAAAATCCAGAGAAATCTGTGAAAATCCTGAGCAGCTCCATCCTGAAGCGATTGGTATTCGGCAGCCGAGGCTCGCCATTCCCTGCTTCGCGCAGCCCTTCGTCGCAGCTGTGGCCGCCGCTGCACCGCCTCAGCCTACACCAGGCCCTTTTCTTTTGTGTTTTGTGCGGTCGGGGTACCATCAAGGTCGGACCAAAGTGAAAGCTTCACCGACAGAAGATCCCATAGACTCCCGTAGACATGGGAGTTGCGTCCCCAAGTTGACTTTACAAGCATTCTCGTGATTGCCAGGTATGCCGAAAGGCTCGTCGGAATCTTGCTCGAACGACTGCACAGTAGATAGAGATGGGTCATGAAGCATTCGGCCAGAAGTTGTTTGAGTGATGCCAGAGGGTTTGGGCCTGACCCTGAGTCGCAACCAGCCTATGTTGCACTCACCAGGTCGAGGAAATATTACACTACGAATGTGGGACTGGAGTATTCAACTTCAAAGCAGATGTTGCCGTAGCCGAATATGTATGACTTCAGGGAGAAGCGCGTAACGAAACAGCTTGTCCTGCTACAGAGATCGCCTGTGCAGATTGCATCGGGTATGTGTGCCTGAAAATGTTGGCTTCCGATGTAAGTTGTGACCTGTAATCCTTCATCTCGAAGCTGTCACCTTCAAAGAGTCCAGCTCAGAATGGAGCCCAGCAAATCCATTGTACCGGCAACTTTTGATATCTTGTTAAACTTACTGTTTATTCGACAGGTCAGTCAAAGGGATGATCATGGTTTTCCGGCCAAGCCTAGCTGCCGTTGCACATACATTGCATGTGCCCCGACCCAACACCGGATGGAGAGAATGACCTGCCTCCCGATGTTGGTAATGCGGGGGATGGATTGAAGTGTCTTGCATGCTCAGGATCGCGAGAAGATTTTCATCGGCGGTCTACCTCACCACTGCACGCTGGACATGCTGACAGCTCATTTCGGCCTCTTGACCCGTGGATGACAGGAAATGTTCGTCAACGGCACGTGGTTCATCGTTCGTGTGGGTGCGCTTGGAGCCGAAAAAGCCGGGAAGGCTGGATTCCCCAATCGTCTGCTACGGCCTATTCTGACACTCCGCGATGAGATTGCTGCTTCATGAGTCGCTGTTGCACTCCTCCAGCAACCCTTACCAGAACGGCATTGAATTGCAAAATCCTAAGTTCTTCTTTGAGATTCTTCGAGCAACGCGTGGAAAGCACCACTCCTCGGGAGTCAAACTATGAAAGACATCGGCTTTCAAGTCGCGAGACCCTGAGCCCTAAGCCTGCAGAAACCACCCCGCCATTTCCGCAACCGATGATCAGCCCGTGCACCGATGCAAATTCTAAAGGACAGCAGCCCTTTGGCGGTGCAAGTGATTGCGCCGAATAGTGTAAATGCCCCACCGCACCAGCCCAGGCAAGTATGGACGGATTACCGATGCTGTCGCTTGCGGCCCAGACACGGTCATTCGGGTCGAAGTTCCCAGTGCAAAGCTCGGAGCCTCCGCCGAGGTCATGGCGGACAAAGCCACAGGCAAGCCCCGAGGCTTCGGCTTCGTCGTTTTCGAACACATCTCCTGTGTGGAGGCGCCCAGGGCCATGGGAAGAAGTAGGTTAAACGGCTTATGCTCTGAGAACTGCCAGGCGGCAATCCGGGACTACGGGAAGCATGCCGCGTACCCAAGGGAAAGCCTTTGCTGTGACGACTCCCTGCAGCTGAAGGTGCCATCAGAGTTCACGTTTGAAACGCCTTGCTGCCAGGAGGCAGGACTACAGTACCTGCAGCGGGAATTCGAAAGCACTTGCTAAACTCACCGAACAAAGACGACGCCAACAGAGCGAAAGGAACTGGAGCTTCTTTTATCCGAGAATGTGATGGTAAACCACATAAGGAACGGAGGCTAGCGGCAATGCTGCAGCATGCTGCAGCGCGCAATGCGCGAGAGCTCCGCAAAAGCGGGAAAATGACATAGCAGGGTTGCCGCACCTAGGCCATCGACGGCAAGTGGGTGGACGTGAAGCGTGCTACGCCGCAGGAGTGTCAGAGGAATGCAGCGGATGTTGCCAGGTCAAGTGCCCTGTTCTGTGCTAGCGAACTACAGCATAATTGCGGCCTATTCGGGGTATTTTCACGAGGTCACTGAATGGGCTGAAGGATGGGAAGTTTTAGCTACTGTAATTAGTCTGCATCAACGCTCTCTCTTCCTCCCCTTCCATTTCTCGCAGAGTTCAGAGATTACCAAGGCATCCCAAACCCTGCGATTGCAAGAGCGAGTGTGTACCACAACACTGCAAGGGGACTGGGTCTTTGACCAAGGGTTTAGAGTAAAGCACTGACAAATGGGCAGATGCTTGTTTTTATATATGTACCCCGAATCTCGCTCCTCTCCTTGAGTATCTTGAGACAGAGAAGCCAGTACTGTTCATCTGGCGTGCGCAGGATCAAGCCGCACCTCCACCACAGGCGACAACTCCTTGAGAATTGGAGCCCAGAGTCTTTGTGAAATATTCCCTGTTGTCATGGCGCGTGGCGAGCTAGCATCCTGCTTGACCTGAGTGATCCTGCGCCGTGTGCCCTACAACCTTCAACCCCCTAAAGCCTAGAACGAAAAGACACAAGCAGTACCAAAAAGGCGAGCAGCATGAGCAGAAAGCCAAAAACGCTCATACCCGGAAGCCAGGTCTTCGCCCCTGCTGCATCCGTTGCCCCGGACGTGCGGAGTGCCTTGCAATGTCGAGGCCTCTTTGGTTTCATTGTGTTGAGAGCGGTGCCCCAAGCAGCCTTCTTTAAGGGGTTCTAGTTCTTTAAAAAGAAGTCGAGAACTAGTCTTGAACACTAGTTCGAGAAACAACAGCATCTCGAAAGCGACGAAAACGCTTGACAGAGAGGAGGACGTCAGCAAGCCAGTCGAAGAGGGTTGGACAATCTTTGAGACAGGGGCACACCGTTCGAAAGAGACGGAGATGCTGACAAGTTGGAGCACGATAATAGGGAACAACTCAGGTCATGTGTTTGTCTGAATTTTCCAAGACCGCACCGTTCGACAGAGATTAGAGAAGTTGACAGTTGAATAAAATTCGGTTTCAGAGAGGGTCGCTCCAGCACTGCAAAACTCGAGTCAAGACTTTCGACTAGCACAACGATCGAAAAAATCTAGAGAGTATGACAACCACTGGAAAGATATCGAGAACCTGACAAAGCAGAGAACTTGAGCACTAATAGCCCACTCCCCCTAAAATTAGACGGGGCCAAAAGAACTCGAACAGTGTTTGCATTATTAGGAGGTGTTTTTTTAAATCTTCTGTCACATTGAGAAGGATCTTGCTCCTGCTTGAAAAGTGTGGATGATTCAGTTGGATTCCCTTAAAAGTGTGTTTATCATTGGTGGGTGTCTTATTAACGGGGGAAGTGGTTAGCACGCCTGAGCGAGCCCCCCTGAAACGGACTGTCGCATCAGACATACAGGAGAATTTGACAAGATGAGGCATCGGAAAAAATCACGCCGCTCGAAAGAGACGGTTGGGCAAAGATGAGAACTTGAAAAAGGTGGGAGCCCAGTCGAACGGCAGCAGCAACAGCTAGATGAAACTTCTGAAACAAGACTAGAGAATCTGAGTATGACTGGCAGGAAAATTTGGGAAAGAGGAGCAACCTGAAGAAAGGGGCTCGGCTAGCAATGTGAGAAACAGGAGCAAAAATCTCGAAAGAGACGAGAGCATGTGACGAGGACGAGGTTGAAGAAAGAGGAGTGAACCAGTCGAAAGGGAAACAATCCACTCGAAAGAGAAGTGGCATTATGAGGAGGTGGTGTGTCGAAAGGCAGTAGACAATGATGCGAGAAAGAGGAACTGAGATGTCGACAGAAAAGAGTATTTCGGAAAAGATGAGCAAACCGGTGGAAGATGATTAGAAGACGGAAGCAGACAGGTCGAAGGAGACATGGGGAGAGTTTGAGAAGGAGGAGCATAACAGTCGAAAAGGATTGACATGTCCAAGGGCTGGATTTTACTGGAATGAAAGACATTCGACGGTTGGTGAACGAGGTGCGAACCGCTCGAAATGGAGGAAGCCACTCCAAAGAGACTACACATTTCGACATAAAGGAGCCCACAGCTCGATCAGAGACTTCGAGAGAGCGGAGAAAAACTCTCGACACAGCCTAGAAAGTTTAAGACAGAAGATTGTTTGAGAACGAGGAGCAAGCATGTCGAAAGAGCTTAGAAGTTAAACCAACTGCTCACAAGAGATGAAAGAATTTGACAAACAGGAAATGGTGAGAACCAAACGAGCAAAGCATATTGAACGGACTCGGAAACTTGAAAAGCAGGATCAAGCGCCCCAACAGACCAAAGAGATTACAGAAGCTGTTAAAACAGGGACATTGGGAATCAAAAGCAAACGGCTCGAAAAGGATAGACAATTTGAGAAGGAGGAGCGAAACGGTGCAAAGAAGTCAGATAGTTCTGGAACAAGGAGAACGCCATTGCGAGAAGGGAGAGAGTTTCGAAATGCGAACAACCCACTCGAAGGAAACCATGGAGAGATTTTGACTAGCAGAAAACTCCGCCGAAACAAGCAAGAAAGCTTGAGTAAAACACAGAGAGCATTCGTAAACGACCGCTGTATCTGAACAGGAGGAACACGAATCGTTCGATTAAGCACCCATGATTCGGGAAAACATGAAGCCCCCCGGAACAGACTCCCAAGCTTAAGAGTCTGAAGTCCTAGTCCTAGGCTGTTCTTTCAGTTATTTTTGTGACCTGTCTGTTCTGTGTTTTGTGATTCGGTTGGGATCCTCTTGCAATGCCTGCGATTGGTTTGTGCTCGGTTGCTACGAATTTTGTTGTGTTTGTTTCGTATCGTCTACCAGCCACAACTAATGCGACTCGGGCTGCGATCCGTGCTTTGTTGTGAAAACTTTTTTTCAATCAAAAAAACAACTTTTTTTCAATCAAACAAAAACTTTTTCCAATCAAAAAAAACTTTCCCTTATTAAAGGAAGCACGACAGGAAGGAAGGAAGGAAGGAAGGAAGGAGGGAAGGCAGGAAGGAAGGAAGGAAGCAAGGAAGGCGGGGAGAAAGGGCGAGGAAGGAAGGAAGGAAGGAAGAAAGCAAGGAAGGCAGGAAGCAAGGAAGGAAGCAAGGCAGCAAGGAAGGAAGGCAGGCAGGCAGGCAGACAGGAAGGAAGGCAGGAAGGAAGGAAGAAGGAAAGGAATGAAAGCAGGAAGCAAGGAAGGAAGCAAGGCAGCAAGGAAGGAAGGCAGGCAGGCAGACAGGAAGGAAGGCAGGAAGGAAGGTACAACAACAACAACAACAACAACTACTACTACTACTACTACTACGGCTGATAGACAAAATCCTGCATTACCCTAAGGACCCTACACTATGGGAATTATGGTATATTCCTTATTATAGGTAATGCAGGATTTTGTCCATCCACCGTAGTACTGCTACTACGACGGCTACTACTACGACGACGACTACTACTACTCCTCCTCCTCCTACTACTACTACTACTACTATTACTACTACTAGTACTATTAGTACTAGTACTACTGCTACTATTACTACTGCTACTACTACTACTACTACTATTACTACTACTGCTACTACTACTACTACTACTACTACTATTACTACTACTACTACTACTACTACTACTACTACTACTACTACTACTACTACTACTACTACTACTACTACTACTACTACTACTACTACTACTCGTACTACTACTACTGCTACTACTGCTACTGCTACTACTACTACTATTACTATTACTATTACTATTACTATTACTATTACTATTACTATTACTATTACTATTACTATTACTATTACTATTACTATTACTATTACTATTACTATTACTATTACTTACTATTACTATTACTATTACTATTACTATTACTATTACTATTACTATTACTATTACTATTACTATTACTATTACTATTACTATTACTATTACTATTACTATCATTTTACTATTACTATTACTATTACTTTTACTACTACTACTACTACTGCTGCTACTACTACTACTGCTACTACTACTACTGCTACTACTACTACTACTACTACTACTACTACTACTACTACTACTACACATGGAGAAAGTTTTTTTGATTGGAAAAAGTTTTCTTGATTGGTGAAAAAGTTTTTTTTATTTTCGCTGAAAGTTTTTTGTGATTGAAAAAAGTGTTTTTTTGATGGCATTCCCGTGAAAATCTGTGATCGGGGCTGGAGTAGGCCTATGAATGGGGTGTCCCCAGAATCCGTGATCGGGGCTACGTCTGGCTACCTGGCTCCGAGGACCACACTTCGATCACAAAACCGAGGTCACAGGTCAAGGAGCACTCTCGATCACAACATGCAGGGCCCTTGTTTGCGAGAATCCCTCATCGATCATGGGCGCAAAACTGCACAATTGCTACGATCACACAGTCTCGTCAGAAATAAGCAACGTATCCAGGCAAATCCAAGTTATAAATGTGACAACCTTTCAGCATATGGCTCGGGCACTGCAAGCAAAGATAATTAGTGCAGGGGATCTTTTCAACTTTGCAGTCTTGTTCTGCTTCAGATGCCTCTCCTGAGAAGCCGGCGATGACGCCCTTCAACGAGGCACTCTCGAGAAACAAAATTGAAGGTTTTCACAGTATAAGCTGGACGTGACCGGTGCACAGCTAGCTCGGGTGAGTGTGTTGCCTGTCCGGGGTTGTCCTTTTCAGCGTGCATCAATCCGACCGTGGAAGGCTGCGAGATTGGGGGTTAGGACTTGCAGGGGGTTAGCTTAAGCTTTCGGCTCCAAATGCCTTCATCCGAAGCCAAGGCCACCACCGTTAATTCCACGATTCCCACCAATGGTCTGCGAATCACTACGCTCCTGCGGCTCATGCATGGTTCTCATTTTCAGTTGTGTGGCGGATCCGGTTTACTCCTCCAATCTGTTAGACTTTCTTTTCAAGGTCCAGCTCTAGCAAAGTACGTCAGAAATCCTGACTCGAGCCCGAAGCGAGAATGGTCTTGCAGCGACATTTTGCCACAGAAGGCCTTGATCACAAAGCTCACTCAAGACAGTTATATAAACACCCAAAGTCCAAGGCACAGAAAGAACACACGGAGTGCAGAACGCAGAAGCGAGCCTCGAAGTCCATCTGCGAAGCAACCAGGCATGATATCGTGGCAGTGGCATATTGCAATATGCAAGGTGCCCCCGCCGCGGTTCGATGATGCCGGCGGACGCGGGGGAAGGGCGGTGGGCAGGGGCAGACTGTTTCCGTGTTGGCACATATCTTCAGTTTGTGACTTGGGCTTTGGCTCGCGACAAATTGTGCAGAAACGATGTGAGTCGGCTCGACAGGACCCAGTCCTCTCCGTGAAGAAAGCTCCGCGACAGCACATAAGGTTCGTTGATGGCTGTTTCTGCGCAGCGTTCCTCAGATGGCGGGTTCAGCCCGGCTTTTTCAGGAGACGCTCTGCCGAGGTACTTTAGGTTTGCAAGCCCTATTGGCGTAAACGGCTCGTGCCCTGGAGCCACGGGCCATTAAGAAGAGAAAGCTTTATCCTGTCGTGTCTGTTGAACTGCTCAGGGATGGAACTAAGATGCCTGGTGAATCGCGGTGAGGAGTCAATCTAAAGAGAGCTGAAGGGGATTTCAGATACTCCGTAACAGAAGCCTCGACACAGGGCAGATGCTTGTTCGCGGCGTTTACGACTACTAAGTAGTAGTACGCTGCAGTTGCCTCACCAGCTCGTTGAATTCATCCCATGCCCGCCTTCTGTTCGCTGTGGATCTGATGAGGCTACGACCCCTTCGGCTAGAGCTGAGATGCGAACACAGCTAGGCGACAAAATGATGTCGCACCGTGGGAGACGCCCGATCTTGATTTTGTCGGAGCTGTCGCCTAGCCTCTGCAGAGTTCATCAAAGTTCTGCTCGAAACCCTGCCGTAGTACCCAGTGCCAGGTACACGAGCTCCTGTGATGTGTGGGCTTGCGGCGTCATTCTGTGCTCCGGGGTAGGGAAGAGGATTAGGAATTGTGCTGCTTAGTCCTCCATTGTCCTCCCAAACTGGAAGGAGCAGTAAGCAATGTGAATCCCAGAGGCAACCCATGGCAATCTCTGCATCTGCAAGGTTACTCGCATCTTCTGACATCTGGTCTTAGGCCACCTCAACCAAGTTGACACCTGGTCACGTCCATCCTGCAGAATTGAGAGTTGGAGTCTGTGTCCGCTTTGCATGCCATCGAAGCCGGAATTGGAAGGCTCCTGTCTAAACTCCCCGTGCGTAACGGGCCGTGGAACCTGACAGCAACTATCTCTCTGGCATGACGTCAGCATAATCCGATAGGCAGAGGATGGCCTGCAGCCCGCCCATCACCATCGCTATGTCATCTTTACCACTCCGTATGCCTCAAAAAAGCACGAGGTACAACCTCATGAGCGGCGGAATTCCCTTTGGCACAGAAGAAGAGGCAGGGTTTTGTGTCGACGAGGCAAGTGTAGACTCGAAAGACGAGGCTGCAAGCAATCATGTTGAAAACCTTCTGCGATGTCCCTTGCAGATCAAAGCAGCGCGCGTTCCTCTTGGCAAGCAGTGGTGCGACGCCTCCCAGGATGCAAGCAGCTGGTGCAGTTGTGGGTCAGTAAAAACCGCATGTAGCTGTCGGCTCTCGCCGCCAGCTGCTTCAAAACCTAGCACGATTCTTGGGTCTTGAATTTCAGGTTAGTTTTTCCTTTGCCTCCGAACCTTGAAGAAGGAAGTTCCGAGAAAGTGTGTGTGTGTATATATATATATATATATGTATATCTAAAGCACTGAACACCAAATCGCATCGTGGCGGACCTCAACAAGACATCCCATCCTGGACCTTGCGACCTGACCTCGCCAGGAGGCTGTTTGCTTCCTCAGGAAGCTGCTCTCCAGACCTGCTCACCGTCCACCAGCCAAGCTGGCACTCCAGGATCAAACGGGGGTGGCAGAGAATGCGGGACCATGTGGACTCGGCCCTACCCCTGAGTAAGCAAGCCCTACTACAAGCTTAAGAAGCTCCAAATCAGATTGGTGTCGCTTCGGTGGGTCGGGGTTGCCGCGTGCCTCTAAACGCCTAAGCCGGCAGACGCCGGGGTGGGTTTCTTTCTCAGAGTTTGCTTGGCGCCAGTCTCACAGGCTGAAAGCATCAGAAAGCCTATGCAAAATTGTGGTGCAGGGTTCTTGCAGCCTCACAACGGATCTCGAGGCACATGTACATGACCACCCTAAGCAACTACCTAGGATCTTGCCCCCTCACAAAGCAAATGGCCAGAGGTAGGGCCAAAGGAAAGACGCGTCAAGATGTCCAGAACAACGAAGCACATGCCGAACTCGAAGTCGTCTGGACTTGAACGTGTACTTTGTTGTCGCAAGTAGATCGACGGAATGAGCGTTCTGCACCGAATCGTCGCACTCGCTGCCGGCAAGCTTTGTCTATGACACTTTGGCAGCTGGTACCAGCTGCTGGAAGGCAGGCTTTCGCTCATTGAGACAAATCCCTCGCATCGTCAGGGGTGGGCAAGGTGGCTCACGTTTTTGCTTTTTCCACGGTTTGTGTAGCTGACAAATTCATGTTAATGGTGCAGCATCTCGTTGTTGTGCTACTTTGTAAATTCATCCAGCCACACTTGCAAAATTGCAACACGTTGCATGCTTGTGTGCATGTCTACAACACCAGCCAACCAGCGCATGCAATTGCAAACCCTGCAAACCTCCCTGCAAAGACTAGTCAACATTCAGGCAGTAGGCGGATCTTGTGATGCAAGCACAATCGTCCGGCATGTTCTTCTCTGGACAGAAGATCCTGCCGCTTCCCTCTGCTCATTTGCGCAAGCTTTCACGTGCTGCAGCAAGTTGCAAGATGTGCGGTGCAGATTCTGTGCAGGATCCTTTCTTTCATAAACACCTTCCAAAGCCCGAGATGCCAACACTGCGCCGTGGTCCTCAGCATCAGAGCTTCATTACTATGTGCTTTGTGAAGTTTGATTCGGTCTAGCTTCGCAGCTGAGCTGTATATACGGAGGGCAAAGCAAGAAGATGTGCTCCTGTGCATGCGCAGTTCTGGCAGTGCCTGAGGTTTCGGTCTGCTTGATGATTTACGCACGTTCCGGAGTCAGAACAAGCTGAAGTACGCCGGCCGCCATTTCTTCAGCCAGAATGCAATTTAGTTTTTTTCGAACACTAATCGCTTTGTGCTCTGTCTTTCAGCCCAAGACATCTCAGCACACATCTGATGGAGACAAGACCACTAGAGTATTCGTAGATGTTTGATGTTTAGTCAGCAGCCGAAGCGACTCTTCATGGTAGGAGTGCAGAATAGAATTGGGCTGCACCAGCTTGCTGACGGCAGGCGCTCTTCGCTCACAACAATCGCCAGTATGCTTGCCGAGGACAGTGATGTGTTCGTCGTCAAGTTTTTTCTCAGTTTCGAAGGGCTGTATTAGCGACGATGCCCCGCTCCGGGGTTATTCTTCTCTCGTGGCTTTCACCCGCATGCAGTAGCTTCCTATGGTCGATGGATCTGCGCAGAAATCAGGCCGGCGTGGTCTGGACCTCAACTCGGTAGATGAACACATCGTGTACGAATGGACAAATGGAAGGATCGTGTAGTTTTGCAAGATCGAGTCAGGATACATGTTTACGGAAGGCAGAGGTATTCTGATGATTGATCAGGCTTGGCTGGAAGTGAATGCCTAGCTTGACGCAGCCAGGCCCAAGGCAAGTTTCCAGAACTGACACCCTCCTCCAAACTGCATGTTGAACTCCTCTTTCTGCATCTATGTCAGCCGTGTCAGTGCAGGAGCATGTACAAGCAGCTCGAGACATGTTTGTGGCAGCCCCTGTTCGAGTGTACGTGAGAGCTGCTGTGGCACTGTCCAGGGCAATGGGTGTCGTAAGCTTTTTGATCATTACTTCAGACGGAGGTTGCTTGTTTTCACATAGGCGCATGTGCCGGAGCCACAGAACGACCGGATTATTTACAGGTCAGGGCGAGGGGATACTCAAGGAGTTGGTTTGCGTAGTGCGCTCGTAAAGCTGGAGGGCAGGAGCCTCATATTTGGATATCGGGTCAGATTGGCGTAGACTGTGCTGCCCCCTATGTTTCCGAAATATGTGTTGCGAAGCTTGTTTCCCAGGTTTCAAAAAGCGCAGGGATAAACAAGCACCATATGCTCTTAGCATTTCTGAAGCCGCGCTCTGAGATCTCTATGGACACTGACGGCGACGGACTCCTCTGCGTAGCAGAGGCGCAAGTCGGTACTGTACTGACAGTACTGACTCGAAATGAGAACTAGATGCCTTCTCTGCGCAAAACTGTAGCTGCACAGCCCGGTGGCTGGCCCTCTGTTTACTATGAGTGTTGTGGCCACAGGTGGAGAAGCGGCTCAGAAAGCAGCAACTTGGCCAAAGTTTCCATTGAAAGTGACGTGAGCAGAGCCTGGTCTCGTGCAGTTTGAGGCGAGAGCAGGGTATCTTGGAGAAGGACCGATCTGAGCCGGTTGAGCTTCAGGAAGCTGTGCGAATCGGCTGGGGTTCTGAAATCGCCGAGCGGGCCCATGCCAAGACCCCTCTGACCGCTTGGCACGAAGGATGTCACGCGACGAGAAGTGGAGAGCCGCTGGGAAGGAACCTGCCGGAAGCATTTGCGGAACCTGCCCGACGTTGAAACCTTCTTGTGGCTTGCAAGAGTGGACACCACAAAGCCAACGCTAGTCTTTCTGAGGAGATACTCTCTGCACTAGGACAAGAGGCGACAAAGCGAAGTCCAAAGCCCAGCCAAGCACCGAGCACCAAGGGATCTTCCGAGACTTTGACTCCAGCTTGGCGGGTTCCTCTAAGGCCCGCGGTTTTGGAATCGTGTGCACACCTGGACCTTCCGATATTGGTAGGGGTCTACTTTGGTTGTTGTTCCGGTAATGCGAGACCCTTAACTCAGACAAGCTTAACTTAAGCAATGAAACCCATCCACTGGTAATTAGTCCTTGAACGCATGATGTTTAGGCGGCTCCTGGGCAGGGCCTATGGAGCGCAAGCGAACGCTCGATGATAGTTGTGTGGAACGATGTGAGGGAGGGCGATTCTTTCTAGCATGAGGTACTCGTAGGTACGACGAAACTAGTAGGGCGACTACTACATGACTTCTTTCGTTAACGGTTAAAGGGACGCACAGCTCCATGCCTCGGAAGCAGCGCCATAGTCAGTGGAGCCCCGCAAACCAATGTGTAACTTCTGAAGCCTCAAAGCTGGTGTTTGCGAAAGATCTATGAAGCCCATAGCCCAAGGCCAGGATGCTTTGTTTTGTCACCGTGTGCGATAATTCTCATGTCTAGGACTCAGATCAGATCTGCTGGTTTCGCAGGATTTCACCTACACAGAGTTCCTGGCGGCGACGTTCAACAGGCCGCGCTGTCTGTGGAGTGTGTCATTGACTTGATGTATTTTGGGTTGCAGCGTGGGAGTCAGTCCAGACCAAGCTTCACATTTCTCGGCGTGGTGTCATTTCCGCAGAAGTGGTCCGCCATAGAAATCGATCTTCTGGGAAACACACGCGAATGCAAAAGCCTGCAAATGCAAATTCTAGAGCCTGTGCTTAGTGCATGGACAACTCAACCGCATTGCGTTTCAACGTGCCCTTCCAGGAAGTGCAGCTTCCGACAATCCCTAAGTGCCTCTTCGTATTTGGATGTGTTTGGAAATTCTTGCATGCCCGCGAAGCTGCTACATGCCCGCTCACTGGGATGTTTGCTGGCCCATATTCATACATCTGCTAGACTCCTGTCACATCTCA